TATCCATGTTTTAGCCTCCTAATTAACTTAAAAAGTTGACTGAAGGAAACATACTTGGAGGTATAAGACCCAAACTAGGTCGAAATTAGTCACTTTTGAGATGAACATTTTGTTAAACAGTAGGAACTTCATTCATATGCCTGATGTTTGCTCACCAGAAGGAATACAAATTATTTTATGCAGCATGTGTATAACAGTTTATATATATATATATATGTATATATATATATATGTGTGTGTGTGTGTGTGTGTGTGTGTGTGCGTGCGTGCGTGCGTGCATGCGTGTGTGTGTGTGTGTGTGTGTGTGTGAATGAAATTTCCAAAGCAGACTGATGTTTTGCTACATTTTAGTTGTTTCTTTAAATGTTAATGTGATTATTGTGTTATTTGTTGAAGGAATATGTGAAGTCTATCATTAAGCAACCCTTAAATGTATCCACTTCTGCCCTGTAGAAACTCTTCTGGCTCTCAACACTTATTGTTTTGTATTTTTTTGCTCAAGTTTTTGAAATAACATTTATTTCCACCTTCATTCGTCCACCAATTTTGTTCCACCTCATGTACCACATGTGATGTGAATGACAAAGAACCTTGGCCTTGATTTCATATGGTCTGAAAATGTTTAATCGATTTGCTTTGTTGCTCACAAGCCAAAAGTCCAGTCTGTAATGGGAACTTAAAAACAGGGAGTATGGATGCATGATTTTAACTTTAAAGTTACAATATGGAATTAACTAAAACAAATCAGTCCACCATGACAGTTTGACACAGTCCTCATTATGTATGAAGAGTAAACATGATTAAACATGCTTTTTTCGAAGGTGCTCAAAGATTTTTAAGAAAATTATCTGTACTGACTGTGAGTTCATCTTTACAGAAGCTTTCAGCATCTCTAACCTTGTTTTTTTTTTTGTTTGTTTCGTGTCTTTACTCTTTTCTGTTTTTCAGATCCTCAGAGGTTAAAGTTGGCATTGATGAGCTCCTGGATGTAACTGTCTCAGTGGAGAACAGAGGAGAAAACTCTTACAACAGTCACATCATTCTCACATATCCTGTTGGGCTCTCCTACAGGAAGTTTACATCTCTGCATGTAAGGCATCAAGTTTGTTCAGTTGTGATCAGGAGCTCCTGAAAGTTTTACAGATGTTTGGTCTTTTCATGCAGGGGAGAATTGAGTGCAACTCCTTGGACAGTGAAGATGGTGAAACAAAAGGAAAGACAGACTGCACTGTTGACAAACCTATTTTCAAAAGCGACTCTATGGTTAGTTTTTTTTTACTCTGCTGCAAATATTGTTAAACAAAACAAGAGTTCACTAAT